GGACAAGGCCTGTGATTGCACTGCATTGAAAAAGGAACGTTACGTGAGTCTTTACCTGTTCCCAGATCAGCTTCCAGACCCAGTTCTGGATGCCGTCTGCGCCAGGCGCCTTTTTAGGCGGGCTGTTGTTGATGATTGAGCTTAAGGCTTCCTTGGTGATTGAGTCTGAGAATCGTTTGGTGACTTCTGCCGATGGCCTCTCAGTCTCTCGTAGCGGGAAGATGAGGTTGTTGGTGTCGTCCAATCTGCAGGGTGCAGTGGCGACGCAGGTGGCGGTGAAAAGCGCTTCAGCTTTTTCATCGTTAGTCAAGCAAGTTTTTCCATCTTCGGTGATGATGGTGCTAACAAGTGATGATGGCTTCCTCCCGGATGCTATGCGTTTTGCCTGAAAAAGATTAGTGTGATCAACCCCTGATAAGAATTGACGCCAGGAGTTTTCCTTTGCCTTGTCGATGGCCTGATTGAATTTGTTGCGTGCCTTCTTGTAAGCTTGTTGTGACTCATTGTCTCGGTGTTTTTTGGCTAGTCGGCGTAGTCTGGTGGTCTCTTTCCGGAGGGGTTCAAGGACCTCTGGCCTCCACCAGGGTTTGTGCTTACCGTAAACCGCCTTGCGTGGTGAGTTGTCGTTTAATGCTTTGATGATGGCGGAGCGTAATTCGTTGTCGAAGGACTCCACGTCCTCTCTCGTGAGGAGCGATCGTAGTTTGGGAAGGGAAGTTTTGAGGTCTTGCTGCAGACCAACGCGGTCGACCTTGTTCCAATTCTTCTTTGCGGTCGTTTGTGAGGCGGATACGGTGGTGTCCCCAGCTGCTGTTGAGAAGCAGGTAACAATGGCTTGATGGTCGGACTGGTGATTGAGGGTGTCCTCTTCGTCAATGAAGCAAGTGAGGATGCTGTCGTCGAAGTCCTCATTGACCCAGACCTGGTCGATAGAGGTTCCTTCGGTGTTTGCTGATCGAACTCCAAAGGTTGGTATGCCTTTCGGGGAGCGCAGATTGAGGCCCCAATCTGTCAGCATTTCGATCAGCTTCTCCGCATCCTTGTCGTTGAGGTTGCTGTGGCTAGGGTTCCAGAGGGGGGAATGAAGGTTAGAATCAGATGTACAGATGATTGGCAGTAGTTGGGTGGATAACGGAGCCTTCTGAAGCATTTCGGTGAAAGCCTCGAAGCCGGTGAGTGTTTTCTGAGGGTTGTAAACGCTAGCTATTAATATGGCGCAGCCGTTTATGGTGACTGTGCACGCCGCTAGGTTTCTTGAAGTTGAATGTATCGGGTTTATGATGGGGTTCAAGTCTTGTCTGATGTAGAGACAGGCTCGAGGTCTGTCCTCCTCCGTGAGGGACCGCGGAGATGGACAGACAAGCGTCCAGTTGGACTGATTTAGTGGAAGATTGTCAATGGGATTGACATAAGGCTCTTGGATTGAAATAATTGAAAAAAAGGACGTAAGATCTGAATTGAAAAGGGAGTGAGTGACATATTTGGAATGCTTGCAATTCAACTGAAGAATGCCCGCTGAGTTGTTAATTTTTAGCGTTTCTTTGAGTTGTTGCTCTAACATTGATTGTTCAGAGTGTTTTCTTGGTCAACCACTTGGATATATGGTGATGAGCTGGGGTTGTGTGGCGGGAATTGGCTTGCAATTCTGACTGGGCACAAGGGAGAGAAAGGGTGGTGGAGGAAATCAGCGTGGTTCTCTTTGAAGAGCCTTGGCAGATTGGTGCTTGGATCAAGTTTCAACTTGCCACGTGCGCAAGAGATGCATTTCATGGGCGTGGGACCTTTCACTGGACAGCTGTGGGAGTGATGTTCCCCGGAACAATGAGGGCACATTGGAGCTAATTTACAAGCTGTAGCTGTGTGGCCTACACCCTGACAATTAAAACAACGGGTAGGAGGGGGACCGCTCAGTTCGGTTCGGTGAAGACCTCTCCCATGCCACACTTTCGTGCGTACAGCTAGATTGGCTTCAGTGAGAGTCTTGAAGCCAATGAGCAAGGAGGAATGACGCTTTGCCAAATCATCGGCCGTATCTTTCTTTAACCACCTCATAAAGAGGGCGTTGTCGAGAAGATCACCATTGCATGTCTTTAGGAGATCAATGTCCTCTGGTCGAGTGGGGTTGAAGGTTGTTGGGATGCCATGCACAATGATAGAGTGCACTTCTTGTTTTAAAGATAAGTTTGGTGAGACTTTGGGAAGCCAGCACGCGACTTGACCGCGCAGTGCTTGCGCTTGTTTTTGTGACTCGAGGTAAATTACCAGGTCGTTCGATGGGTGGCGATGGATGTTTCTCACCATGATGGTGTGTGCATCATCCGTCGCAACTTTGATGTTGCCTTCTTTTAATATGAGGTTGAGAATTTTAATAAGCTCAGGGATTGTTTTTCCCGCACCTGCTATAACCTTGGGATCCATTTGGCTAAGCGTGAGGGACGCCTCAGATTTTGGGCGTGTGGTCTTTCTTGGTTGAGCACGAGGGCTCGGAATGTGTTGTTTTGGGGGTTGAGCAGCCTTTGGCGCGTGCTTTGATGCAGCTAGCGCGTATGAGCTTTGATCGGGGCTCGATGGCTGCTGCTGTTGTTGTTGTTGTTGGCCTGGGACGACAGCTGATATGAGCTTTGCCACTTGGTCAGCTAGCGCGTCGACCTTCTCTGACAATGTTTTCGCTTCTGAATTCGAACTGAGCGTTCGTTGCGAAAGATTAGGGGGAAGGATTGGGGACGGTTTGGCGATGAGGGTCGAAGACGACTCTTCGGGCCTCATTGATGCTGGCCTGCTCCTGAACTAAGCCGACGAGCACCAGAATGTCTGCTGCCGATTCAATGTCCACATTGATCGTTTTGGTCCTTTTGGATTTTGGAACCAACGTGGCCTTGGATACATCCAACAACCGTTGGATGAGAGTTCCGAGGGGCTTGGCTGTTCCAGATTCCCCTGGAAACAGCTTAGCGATTCGGGTCGATCGAGGAGTGCCAGTGATATCTTCGGCCTCCTCGAGAGGGCTCTGAGAGGGAGCTCGGTGTCGGTGACGCTTCCTCGAACCTTCCAGTGGCACTGGGGTTTTCGAGGCAGGTCCAGAGAGAGCTTGGGGGGGAAGGGTAACCTTTTCGAGAGCGATCGAGGTCGTTTGACGCGTCTTGGGCGTTGATTCAGCCTCTTGACCCGTCAGGTCTGACGCGACTAAAGCGTCCATCGCGTCGTCGTAGGTCGACTGATCGTCCCGAACAGCCGAGTTATCCTGCGTTTCGGGATCCGGAGGTCCTGCGTCCATTCGGACACGCGAAAAGCGAGAGAAGATAGAGTGAAGAATGAGGAAAGGTGGAAAAAAAGGAGAACGGTTGGAGTGAAAAGTGTTAGGAGAATGGGTTGGATGACGACTTGCGCAGTCACGGAGGGGGTCACGTCCCAAAGTATTACATGTGTACATATGTATGTACATAACTTGATATTTCAGCGGGGGCAGGTCAGTCTGGATTTTTATCACCCGTCGCATAGTCACATATTGACTTCTTTTGTCAAATCCTTGCCAAGACCAGAATGCCCAGCACCCGACGAACTCGAATTGCCTCTCCTCCTGGGTCAAACTCAAGAGCTAACCGATCTGGCCGTGTTCGAACAACTTCCGACACGGCAACCATCACCAAGAATTCATCTTCTCGTCTTGCTGCAGTCCGTAAGACCCCAACCCAACCACCTAATCCACCTGTTGTACCATCAAATACCAACATCACAACCAACCCGGCTATCTTGCAGCCACAAACATCAACCACTAACCCAACTGTTCAGCAACCACGCCAACGTAATCTTCGAAATAAATCCACCAAGAGACCAATTGTCGAGAATCAGGACACTGAAAGTGAACACGATCTCAGTGACACCTTTAAACCTTCAGACGAAGAATCAGCAAGCAACGAAGATGAGCCCAGATCTTCCAACCAACATCGACCATCAGCCAAGAAGCGACCTCGACATCAGGGTGAACCTACTGGTTCCCAAAATGTCACCACTACCACCAATTCAACTACCCCGGACCCAGCTTTGATTGACGGATTTGTACCTTCAGGTGTCAATATAGATCTTCCTACCGTCTCAAACTACAAGTTGCTAGCGAGCGAGTGGCCTGATACAAGAATCTCTGGATATCTTAATCAATCTTGCAAGAAGTTTGGTACAGTTGTACCTCAACACATCCGAGACGAAGCTGAGGCTCTCAAGAAACTGTACCATCATCACAAGGAGATGCTTGCGATGATGGCCAATGTAAGCTCGTTTACACTTGACAAAGCCATTTAAGTTTTTTCAAGATAATCGTGGTAGAATCTTGTGCGCTTATCTTGATGTGGATTTTTGGTCAGTGGGGATCTTGGCTCAACACGTGGTGTGGGTGCTGATGGCTATCGCCTTTGGATGAGTTATTCAAAGTTTGTGGAAAAAGAATACAGTGAGTCCCAATCCAAACTCAAAAACTTGTATGTCTGATCAACTCTGATCTCAAGAAACTCATGTGTATGATTTGATTTTCCTCAATTGTCCTTTGTTACAGTGCCTCGATCTACTGAAGGAAACAGTCTTGCCCAGCGTAACAAGATCATCGGTGAAAAGTGGACCAGTCTGTCCGAAATGGAAAAAATGGTTTATGAACCTTCGATCTTCTACACTTTGTCTGGCCTGCCATCACCCAAGAAATACCAGCTGTTTCCTTTGACACCCGATGAACGCGACGAGCTGCAAAATATTTACGATGAATCGGTTTCTAATGCAAAAGTTACCAAGGCTTATGCCCTTATATCGGCAGGTACTTCTCAAGGTCAAACACTTGCAGACCACAATCAACTTTCACGGAAGCGTGTGGAAAAACTTCATTCTGAGGTACGTTCCCCCCGGTCAGATTGGCTGCTTTGTGGTTAGTGATATGTAATCTCATCGTGACTTGACCAACAGATCCAGAACGAATCCACTTGGATGAACTTTGCTTATTACTTTCTTGTCGCTGGAACCCATGCTAAAACCTCGGAGAGCAAGGAATCTGATGGATGGTGTCTTGAGTTTACCTCGCATCAAGAAATGGCCGAGTATGTCAGTACCAAGAGTAACTTCCCGGTCATATTCGCCGCCCGAACTCAAGGAGCTTCAGTGGAAGAAGCGATAGCATCTGACATAGGTCCAAAGTCTAAGCTGAATCTACCAAAGCCAAAGCAAGCTGCAGACATTGTAAAATCTAAATTGTCTTCTGCCCTCCGCTCCCAACTCGGTGAGAGTTTGTAATGTCGTTGTAGACTCCATTACAAACATAATACAACCACAATAGCCTTATATCAATTCACATGTCTTTTCACTTCAATCATCGCTCACTATACTAACTCCTTAGGGAATCTAGACTGATCTAGATTTATGACCTTTTGGAGTTAGGTGAGCTCAATCATTTCTGCATTTATTCTATTTCATTATTATAACTTGTACCCGTTTCTGAGGGAATCTAGACTGATCTAGATTTATGACCTTTTGGAGTTAGAATAAAAACAGTCACTTTGGTTCTAGAAATCAGTCCGAGATCTCTTAAATTAGATCTCAGTTCCCTCAGCCCGAAGCTTCGATAAAAGATCAATTCACTTTAGTGGGGACAATCCAAGTCCTTACACTTTTTTTTTCTCGAACCTATCTCGAACCCCGTTTAATTCTCGTTATACCCGGATCTTCAAACTTCAACCTTGTTGATTCATTGTATGAATCAAAAGCCAGAACCCCGCTCCACCCGCATGAGTTCGAGTGAACCTCTCACTGAACGACTAGACAATCCAGAAGTATTACTTCGAAGATCAAACTCAGCCCCGGTCTATCACCAACGTCCAATTGAACAGGCAGAGCGATACTCCCAAAATAAAGTTATTTTCGCAAATCTTCCAAATAGGAATCCACCACCCAGACCTGTGCCAGCTACCGAGAAGGCTTACACACCTTACCCACCGGCCTCCCCTCAAAGACCCATACCGGGCGAATTCCCGGCTTCCCCGTTTCGAGCTCGCATCTCGCAGATCATCTCCGAAGAAAAGCAACTCGCACTTGATCAACAATCACAAGCATCTACCAAACCTACCTTGTCATCCTCCTTGCGTACCGAGACGATGGCCAATGCTACAGAAGACCATCCATCCTCGCCATCCCCACCCTCGACCAATGACCTTCTCAGAGCGATCTTGCAGACCCAACAAGCAGGATTACAGGCCGCTAACAAATCGGCACTGCGAATTGCTAAACTAGAAGAGGAGCGGATTGTGGCGGCGAAGGAATCAGCTGAGAGACTGGCCAAACTGGAAGAGCGCCTACTGACATTCCAACTGAACGAATCTTCACCTCGTCAAACATCGACTGTCGACGACAACGCTGTCCGAGGAATTGACTTGACCAAGTTTAAATCTTCGGACGGTCCTTCATTCAAAGGCCCATATCGCGACATAGACGCCTTTCTGAAATGGTTCACCGCTTTAAAAATCTTCTTCCTAGTCAAGAAAGTCGAAAGAGACGAAGACCGGATCATACTCACGGGTTCCTACCTGCTCGAGACAAATCTACAGGCGTTCTGGGCGCATAACGTTGAAAATTTTCGGAAAGGGACCTGGGAAGAGTTCAAGGATCGTCTATTTGCGACAGCACTACCCTCTGACTGGAACGACAAGCTGCGCGAAAAGATCCTACTGTTACGGATGTCCTACGGTGAAGACTTCAAATCATACAGCACCCGAGCGAGGTCGATTCAATCCCTCATGAACCATGACAAGATGGTACTGAACGATTTCACACTAGCCTCACACCTTCTGCTCGGTATCCTTCCGGAACTGAAATCGTCCATCAGGTTACACCATCCACTGGTAGAATCAGGTTTCGACTATATCAAATTCGAAGAGAAATGTGACATGCTTTATGATGATCTGATCATCAAGAAGGTCATTGTCAAGCGCTCAACCGGATCTTCGTACTCTCAGCGACCAACCTCATCGGTTCACCACACCGGGAACAACAGTAGCAACACTGCTCACGCTATCAGACCGAGCAATGAAGACTTTATTTGGAAGATTCACAGTTACCTTGATTCAGCGGGTCTGTGCCACTACTGTAAGAAACAGTGTGGCAGTGAATATCGTCAATGTACCGGGACACTTTCTAAGGAGCGAGTCGTCTTTCCTCCAGGATTCAAAGCTCCGCCAAAGCCAGACAACTACACCCCACCCCGAGCCAAACTTGCACCGTCTACAGCCGGGCGACCTACCTTACCTCCAGCGGGACGACCTACCCGAAACACGGTTGCTGCAGTGACGTTCCCCGAGTACGACTCGACCACAGTTGCGGCATACGAAGAAATCGACCGAGAGTTGAGAGAAATCAATCAATTGGAAGAAGAAGAACTGGTACAAGCTGGAGAAGAAGGGTACGTGGACCAACCCGTATCCCAACCGGTGGTAATCTTACAGCTGACATGTAATGGTACACCTATCCGCGCCTTGGCCGATGCAGGATCTGAAACGAACCTCATCTCTGAAGCAATGGTTGAGAAGCTAGGATTAAAACGGCGTAAACTTGTTAAACCGACCATCGTAGGATTAGCCCTTGACTCTGACACACCACCCCCAATGCTCACCGAGTTCACAATCGCGGCCCTCACACATGTTGCATCCAACACATCCTTCGAGCGCAATTACATGAAGATCGGACAGATGGGACAGTCTTATGATATCATTTTAGGAGCTCCTTTCTTATCTCGTAATGATTTAGCGGTGTCTTGTGCGAAAAAAGCTGTACTGAGTGAGAAGTCAGATGTTGTCATGTATGATTTTCGACATGAAATGAAATTGAAAAAAATGATTGAAGATTCCAAACAAGCCTTGGTAGCCGCTTCAGCTGAGAGACGTGAGAGTGAGAAATGGAACGCTTGGGAACAAGATTTGAAGAAGAAGAATGAACCCTCAGTTATCTCGAAGCCTGACTCGTGGGAAGAATGGGAAGCTGAGTACTTTGAACAATATCATGACCTCTTCCCCGTAGACATCCCAGCAATCTCTGAGGAAGTGGAAGAAAAAGGAGAGTTTACCGATGGCTCTTTCCCAGAAAAATTACAAGACCCGGCCTCAACAGTGAGGCACAAGATCATACTGACGGATCCAAACGCCGTAGTGAATGAACGTCAATACCCATACCCGCACAGACACATGAAAGCCTGGCGAAAGCTACTGGATCAACACGTGGAAGCTGGGAGACTCCGAAAGTCATCGAGTCAATACGCATCCCCCAGTCTCATCATTCCAAAGAAGGACCCTTTGGAACTTCCAAGGTGGGTATGTGATTACCACACCTTGAACAGCATGACCGTCAGGGACCGTTCACCGCTCCCTAAGGTGGACGAGTTGGTCAGGCTCGTCTCGACAGGAAAGGTTTTTTCGTTATTAGACCAAACCAACGCTTTTTTTCAAACCCGGATGCGCGAGGCCGATATTCCATTAACCGCCGTGAAGACACCCTGGGGACTCTATGAGTGGTGCGTAATGCCCATGGGTCTCACGAACGCACCGGCCACGCACCAGAGTCGACTAGAAGAAGCATTAGGAGAATTGATCAACACGGTGTGTGTTGTTTACTTGGACGATATCGTGATTTTCTCAGAGTCAACAGAGGAACACAAGGAACATTTGAAATTAGTATTGGAGCGTCTCAGAAAAGCTAACCTCTATTGTAGCAGTAAGAAGACCAAGTTATTCAGAAAAGAAGTGAAATTCTTAGGTCACATCATTTCACCAAACGGGGTTAGCGCAGACGAAGAAAAGATTGAAAAAATTAGGTCCTGGGAATCACCTAAATCAGCAAAAGGTGTCAAGAAGTTCTTGGGGACGGTACAGTGGATGAAGAAGTTTGTATACGGTCTGGAGAAATACGTAGGAAAGCTGACACCATTAACTAGCAGCAAACTCAACAAGAAGCAATTCAAGTGGGGCGAAGAAGAAGAGAAAGCTTTTCAAAACATCAAGAGAATTATGACGACGCTTCCTTGTCTGAAGAACGTCGATTTTGACTCCACAGACCCTTTGTGGCTCTTTACGGACGCCAGCGGCACGGGACTGGGAGCAGCTCTCTTTCAAGGCAAAGAATGGAAAGGCGCAAGTCCCATCGCTTACGAATCAAAGCAAATGTCGACCGCCGAACGTAATTACCCCGTTCACGAGCAAGAGTTGCTAGCAGTGATTCACGCCCTCCAGAAGTGGAGAATGCTTCTCCTAGGCATGAAAGTTAACGTGATGAGTGATCATCACTCCCTGACGTACCTCCTGAAGCAACGGTCGCTGAGTCGACAACAAGCCCGTTGGCTTGAACAGCTGGCTGATTTTGATTTAAATTTCCAATACGTCAAAGGAACAGACAACTCTGTAGCGGACGCGTTGTCCAGAAAGGATGCCGAAGACTCACAGATTGGAGTGGAAACCATTGCAGCGCTAGCCTTATCACAAACAACCCTGTCAGAAGAATTCAAAGCTAGCGTTCTACGGGGATACAAACAAGACAAATTCTGTATGGCCGTACGCGATGGGGCACCTCTTCGGGATGATTGCTATATAGACGGAGGTTTGATTTTTATTGATGGACGATTACTTATACCAAACGCTGAAAGCTTGCGAACTCACCTCATTGAGGAAGCACATAAACGAGTGGGTCATTTAGGAGCATTAAAGACAGTTTCCACACTTCGACTGGACTTCTTTTGGTCACGAATGAGCAAGGATGTTGAGATGTACATCAAAGCCTGTGAAACGTGTCAGAAAACGAAAGCCAGGACCTCTCTACCCAACGGACACATGAGGACTCCGAATGTACCTACAGAGCCACTCTCAAACATCGCCATTGACTTCATCGGGCCACTTCCCAAGATCAATACTTACGATATGTTGTTAACAGTCACTTGCCGACTTTCTGGTTTCACCCGACTTATCCCTACTAACCAGACGGACACAGCCGAAAAAACTGCTTCGAGATTCTTTGGTGCTTGGATGGGAACATTCGGCGCACCAGACTCGATCATAAGTGATAGAGATAAGGCCTGGGCGTCGAAATTTTGGAAATCACTTATTGACCGCTTCAATGTCTCCTTCCATCGTTCCGCAGCATTCCACCCCCAAGCCGACGGCAGGAGCGAGCGTACCAACAAGACGGTAGGCCAAATACTCCGCACGTTCACAGCCAAACGACAGACACGTTGGCTAGAAGCTCTCCCATCGGTCGAGTTTGCAATCAATAGTGCAACGAATGTAGCCACGGGCCTATCACCTTTTCAAGTGGTTTTTGGTCGACCAGCAAAGCTTTTCCCTTCCAGTGGCACGACTGAGGACACACCCACATCACTTGAATCTTGGCTAAGACAGCGAGAAGGCACGTGGGCGCAAATTCGCGACAATCTTTGGACCAGCCGAGTACAGCAAGCCCTACAGCACAATAAACAACACACAGACGTGCGCGTAGAGACAGACAGCTGGGTACTACTTGACTCTGGAGATTGGAGAGGTCGCCACACGGGAGGAGTTGATAAATTGAAAGAACACTATGAAGGTCCATACCACTGCCAGCATTAAAGAGGTTCCCAGATGGGAATATGGGTCCTAGTGATCACATTCCCATCC